GCCTCGGCCCTTTCCCATGGGGTTACGCATCGTGGAGACGGCTATTATTCTTTTATCATTCGGCTTTTTGTTGTCATTACACATCGCTCTTTGCCTCTCTTCCCCAGTGGCCTCATCCTTCATTCTGTCCCTCTTCTTCTCTATACGTTTGATGCCCCCACTCCTCTTTTCCTCTGCCCTATCCCTCCACTATTGCTCCCCGGCATGGTGAGGTGTTTTATGGGTTGTTTGTTAAAGCGTAGAAGCATAACGGGCTCCCCCTTTCTCCCCTGTTTCCTCTTCGCTGCCTCCCCTGGCCAACGGGGAATCGTTGGAGTGCAGCTTTTTCCTTCTTTGCCACTCTTCTGTTGCATGATTTAGAAGCAGTGGCAGCGTGATGCATGCATGTGTGTGTGCGCATAGACACACACACACACATACACAGACTCCCCAGAGCGCTTAATCACTTTTCTTCTGCTATTTCTCATTCTTTCACCCAAAAACAGCAGAGAGCCTATTCACATACAGCAGCACAAACACTTACCTAAATGCACATTTAATACAGAATGTCACACGTTTTTTTCTCGCATGCAGACACACACACACACACACACACACACACACACACACACACACACACACACACACACTTACACTAGGGAGGCGATGCATTGCTCTGTCTGAACACTGCATTGGTTTCCCCTCCATTATCCTGCGATTGGACAGTTAATGTTGCAGGAGGCGAGAGAAATGGAGGGAGATAGAGGCCTATAGCTTCAACATTTACTTTCCATTTTCCACGCACACGCACAGAGTAACAGAGCTTGTTCACTCACACATAAACACATTCAAATACAGGCACATACCACCACACCAGAAAATATGCAGAAAATATATTTATTTTCAGGTCCATTAATATGCATATGAAAGGAGAGAAGGCAGTATTTCCTGCGGCCTCTCCTAAGACACAGCCAATTATTGTACAGCAATCTCTCTGTTGTTTATCAGAGCTCCACACCTGTAGTAAACATGCTTGGCTCTCAACCACATGATTGTGTTATCTCATGATATACAGTATACCATAGGAAGAAAATGCAGTGGGTGAAACCAATGTCATATTAATAGGAATAGGTTTACGATTTCAGTGGAGGTGTGATGTTTGATTGAATGACCCGTGTTAAAGTAATATGCTTTACATCAGACCTCTTGCTTGGAATCAATAATTTGGACAACTGAATATTGTAAAATTATAACACATTATAATCATACCATAACAATAGGATTCTACTGGAAGTATTATTATTTTGACAATCAATTAATTATTTAAGTCATTTTTCAAGCCAAATATCTGTTGGCTCCAGCCTCTGATTTGTGAATCAGCAAATAATTAGCAATCATTTGCAGATAAATCAATAATGGATATAATTATTAGCAGAGCTGACAAGTTACTACATGCAGGGTTGGTTTGAAATGTGTATCCAAATTGAAGATAAGAATGACTTATTGATATTAGAAAACTGAATATATTTGAATTTGATTTGTTTTGTTAGCTTGTAACACAGCTGCATCTAACAATTATTTTCATTCTCAATTCATCTGCCATTCATTATGCTCTATATACTAGTTTAAAAATGTCAGAAAGTAGTTGGAGCAGCAGTCCAAAACTGAAAAATATTCAGTTTACAATAATGTAAAACAGAGAAAAGCAGCCAAATCCTCACAGTGGATAAGCTGGAACCAGAAAATGATTGGATTTTTTTGTGTAAAAAAATTACATGAATCATGAATTGATTCTCAAAATACTGTAGCTGATAACATGTCTAGCAAGGCAAAGTTGCAGAATCTCATTTAAGAGCATTCTAATCCCCCAGCTGCAGTACTGCATATTAGATTTAATTTAGTATGAACAATAAAGTCAGTGTGACAGTTATTAATGATTTTATTCAGAATGTAAAGCTTTCGCCTTTCATCCTCACTTGCCCACAGAAATGTTTTGAATGGACTTTAACCGGCTCTCTCTCTGTCTGTGATAAGTGCTCTCTCAGCACTTTCCCTCATCATTGTACTGTCTGATATGATCTAATGAGCCACTGAAGTGTAGGGCACACCACCCACTCTCCAAACTGATAAACACTGCTTACTTATGTACAGGTTGTGTCAGCCATTCACAAGATGGTCCTGATTATTCTCAGAGCAGGAAATCTTCACTTCAGAGATGTCAGAAGTTTTACCTGAGGCATTGGGTACATTTAGATCCACTTTAGTGCCCTGGTGTTGAGTCTTACCCTGGTTTAAATCATATTCGGGATATGGCATTTACATGGAAGATGAGAAACATGGTTATTTCATATCCCTGTATACATGATCATAGGAGTATCCAGGTTTCTGATCGTCTGCCTGCAGGTGTGCCTTTGATTCCTGAAGATCTCAGCCGCTCATTTCCAACAGAAAGAGTGACCTCAGCAGTTGATAATGAACACAGGTTGGTTTCTGGCTGGCTGAACTGAAGCTGTATTCACCACGGTTCTGGATTTAGCTTCTCCATCTCATTGCCGGTAACAGAAAATGAGAGTGACAATAAAATTATGTTCAGCATAACTGAAGTCAGAATTTCCCCTTGTGATCATTATCATTATTTACGGTCATTAGTACAGTGAAGTATCACGTGACTTCATGTGTGGCATGGTTCCTGGTTCATGGTTTCTATCAGAATGCTTCAGCTAACTTGTCCAGGTTTCTTAAAACCAGTAAATCCTGGTAAAACTGGAATACTTTCAAAACCTGATCATAGGATACTTGTGGGCTCATAAGCAGACTCATTGGTGAACGCTTAAATATTTGTGTGTACACTGTGACACTGAGATAGAAAAAATTAAAAGTGGTCTGTTCTTCCTCTGTCCTCTGTTTCATTTACAATAACAATGATTAATCGACAGAACAACTATTTTGTTAAGCGACTAATCGTTTAAGTCAAATAAATTTGTGATTTTTAGCCTCTCTGCTTCTGTTTTACATGATTGTAAACTGAATATCTTTGGGTTTTTGAAGAGTTGATTAGACAAAACGAGACACTTGAAGACTCCATAATAATTGGTAGTAGCAGCCCTATCTTCAGAGGTCAGTTACACTAAGATGCACATTTAGCAGCTTTTCATGTTCAGTCCTCTTATCTCCCAGGAACTTCCTTTTTATCCTCTTCTTGTTTGGTTCCTCCAAACCATTTCAGGCCCTCTGGACATATCACCATCTATGCAGGGATACACCATGCCAGAGCTCTTTTTTAAATGTACACATCGGCAGAGCAGAGACCTCTATTGGCAAGGGGAGCAAAGTAGACCACGACAGTCAAGACAGTCAAAGAGCAGAGGGCAAAGACACAGAGAGGCAGGAAGAGAAAGAGAAACAAGGGATGAGAGACTCCACAGGCTGTTGCCTGGCAACAAAACATCATTCAGCGCAATTGTGTTTGGGGGATAAAAAGGAAAAGGGGACGTGAAGACGAATAGATTGAAGGGGTTTGCAGATGTTCACAAGGGTGAGAAGAAGGTGGCAATTCACTCAGTCAGTTGATAGCAGCAGCACAGACTGGCTAAACACTTGACTCATCACTTGTGTAATTAACTGTGAGATATATATTAAATAATATCTTGCTTTGTGTAAGTGTAATACGTCTGTTCTATAACAAAGAGTCATACATCAATCAAATCAAGTTCAGATTAAAAACAAACGTCTGTATTGTGTTTCTAACAGCATGTAAATGTGGACCTGAAAATGGACAGCCTACACACACCCAAGGAATGGCAAACAAAAAAATCCATGTCACATATAACAAATTTCTATTATTTTAAACTGTTTTAATTGAATTTGCACTGTAACACTTTCCCAATGTTTGAGTAAAAGAAAGTTACAGGAATAGTTCAGCATTTTGGGAAACGTATTTCCTTTCTTGCAGAGAGTTAGACCTAAGAGTGGTATCAGTGTTTTCATCTGTCTGTTAAACCAGCCAATCAAGTAACATTAATAGACCGACAGCTGCAAATAGCATGGCTGAAATGAAAGTTTTGACTCTATATTATCAAATCACAGAGTAATATGGAGTACTGAGGTTACAAATGGACCAGCCATTACCTAAATCTCATTTTACTCTCTGTAAGAAAGCCAGTTAGCGTGCAGTATTTCACAAAGTGTCGAACCATTTCTTGAATACAAACATTTAGGAAGATCTATTAGCAGAAATATTTGCATAAATAAGTTTTCATTAGTGTATAATCACCTGAAATAAGAATTGGTTTTGTTATCTTAGAATGAGCCTTTCATATCTACAGACACCGTGAGTCCCCCTTCATGGCGGCCGCCATGTTGTACCACCGCGATTTTCACTCTTTTTGTAGCCACCATAGTTTTTCCTTGGAAGGAAAGGGTGAAGCGAGGAAGTTGCAATCTGCAACTACAGCGCTTGATTCCACTTAATCCTATACACTGGTCCTTTAAGTTGTATGTAGTTATACAGGATACATTCTGTTCTCCTCCCCTGCCCTCTCTTGTTTCTCTCACTCTTCCACTATCATTAACTGTCCCATTTCGCTCTCATAACGTCTCCTCTCCAGTGCTATAGTAGAGAGAGGTGAGTCAGCAAGAGACAGATAATTGGGCTGATAAGTAGAGGGTGGCAGATGCGAGAATTGAAAAAAAAAGAGATTATAAAAACAGGTTTTTACAGCGAGGGGAGTTGGAGGAATCATTGCAAAGATTCGAGTAATTATTGATGTGAAGTGACGAGACATTGGTAATCTACACAAGGCAAGACTGCTGAGGACAGATATGTTTGTACTGTAGTAGGACTCATGCTGCTGTTGTCACATGGAGGTGATCTGTCTGCAATGGTTCCTCCTTTGTCCGTGATGATAGCCAACTCTAATGTATTTATGACCTGCTTATTACTGTCTGCCACAAGTCATGGTTTGTCAGATGTCTAATTTTAAACATGTCTCCCTCTCTCTGTCCCTCTGTCTCCCTCTCAGCTAATTTCCAGTGACGCAGATGGGGCCATTCAGAGGGCAGGACGCTTCAGGGTGGAGAATGGCTCGTCAGATGAGGTACATACAGTATAATACACTTTTGTGCACACATGCATTCAGTTTATCCACCGACCCCTATATTGCTCCCACTAACTATGAAACTATTACTCTCTGGATGACATGGAAACGAGTGGAGACCTGCTAGCTAACCCCCGCTAGCTCATATTTAGAATACATAATATGAGAGTGGAATCGATTTTCTCACATACCTCCCAGCAAGAAAGCAAATGTGTTTTTTCCCGAAGTAATTTCCCAAAACATTTTTTAATTATTCCTTGACTGCAGCTGCCATTGTGATTTACAGCCCAACCTGGGAGTCATGAGTCATCTTACTTGACTTTTTCCCCATCTTTGCTTTTTACTTGTTAAACACAGAATGTTTTCATAATTGAACTTTTTCTGGTTGCTCAAAATTATTCAAATTAGGCAATTTGGAAGGGAAAATCAGTTTAGTGCTTACAACTCATAAACATATGCCACCTGTGATTAGGGGTTATGAAATTAATTGTATCCGTTGCAAAAATTATATAAACTGGCAAAGGTGTAAAGTTTAAAAAATCATGACAACTGATTTGAAATTATTGATACTGTATAAAGCTCGAAAATACATATAGCCTATATCACGGTGATCAGTATTCCAGACACAGTAAAAACAGCATTAGCATAATAACAGTCATATACTGACCTGAATTATTTTATAGTGATAAATGCTCAAATTGGTACAAATATTACTATCATATCACTAGATTAGAGAAACACGACCCAAACAATTTTTGGTCATCTGTTAACTCACGTCATGTTAAACAACCTTAGTATATCAGTGCAGTTTAAATTGTTCCCAGCATTTGTTGATCATCTTTGTTTCTTTTTTATGTCCCTTTCAAAAAAATGCAGCCACAGTGTATGTCCATTTTGTGTCCATTACCCTAATGTACTCCTTTGCTTTTGTCTCACATGTTGGTATGATTTAGGATGTCATGTTATTTAAGACAAAGGGGCCTCTTCAAAAACCCTCCCGTTTTGAACAGAGAATATTTACTGTACATCCTCCACCATGCTTTACATCATGGTATAATAATAACAGCATAAAGACTGACTGTAGCTCAGATGTCCTGCCCTTTATTGCAGGGCTCCATACTGCTCCATAGTGTAACCGTTTTCCACAGAGAAGACTGCTGTGACTCAAGCTGTGACCATCATGATGACAATGTGGTGTGTGTGCATTTGTGTATGTGTGTGTGTGCAACAAACAGACTTTGGACTACACTCCGGGAACCTGGAGGAGAACCGATGTCCATCTGGAGAATCCAGAGTACCACACCAGATGGTTCTTTAAATACTTCCTGGGAAAAGGTCAGTGCTGCTCTGTTGTGCTCTGTTTAAAAAAAACACACATAGAGTAAGTGTGAGATAAAGGAATAAATACAGGGGGTGAGGCTGAGGGAGAGCCTATAAGCTGGCTCTGCAGCATGCTGCAGAAATAAAACATCCTCTGAATTTCTTCCTTGGTCCACAGGATGCTTCTTATCTTATGAAGTCAGCCTTTTCCTCATGCTGCACCACTCTTCATTCAAGGCCAAAACTTGTTAGCATCCAGCCATATCCCCACTGAGAGTCTCAACTACACTCTAATCCTATACACTGCCCAGGGAGGATGCCCATGGAGGACATACAGCCTCACCACCACCAGACAGAGCAAAGGCTTGCCTCCAACAGATAACACAATTAAGATTGGACTGTTGGCTTCTGAAATGAGCCTAGCGCCATGCAGCACAGTAGTAAGAGCCATTAACAGGAGCAGCCTTGGAGATAGTTAAAAGAAATACATTAGAATTGGTCACCTGTTCCTTAACCTTTCTGACCCTCATCATCTCGCCATCCTCATTAACACCCTGCCTGTTCTCAAACTCACAGTGTAGGCGGGCAGAGCAAGTTGTGCAACAAAAGATCATTGTGCGGGTTTCTTTACCGTGACTCAAATCAGGAAGAATGCCCTCAGCTGAAAGGTTGAGTTAAAGGACAGAGCCTGAGATGGATGGAGATAATTGTGAAGGAAAGTTAGGCAGCAAAAAGTCAGCGAGTTGAAGAAAATAAATGCATTTTCTCCTCTAAGCCGGGGTCTAATCATGCTATGGCATGGGCAGTTTAAAAAGAGCCATGTCTCCAGAAAGTTGGCTCGACCTGTTTGGACTGCAGCTGAGCCATCTGTGTCTCACAGCCTGAACAGAGCTGACTGCATAGTACAACACAACACATTATGAACTCTAGGCCAATTATTCTAACATAAGCACTTCCTGTCTGATGGAGAGTCCAATACAATGACTTGAATTCTCAGTTTCTTCATGATTAGGTAGGCGAAGAATAGTAAAACAGTTTGTCCTCATTTGTTTCCCTGTTGCCTTGCATCAGGTATGAAGGTAATTCCTGATTTATTGCTATCTGATTCTTCTCATACAAAGAAACCTGTCTAAACTAGTAAGTATATAATTGCAACCCGACCTTGCAAAATCATTGCTTACCTGAAGCATAAAACACGGCTGAGCTAAAAACCAAATTGAGAAAGAAAGTGAAATTGTGGAATGAAAAAAACATTCAAGGAAAAGAAAGCATCAGAGGAGGACAAAGAAAGGGACCGCAATGGAGCCATAGATCCTGCGTCTAATTGGGTTTGGAGGTCTGTTCAGCATTGTTTCTGAAGATGTTACCCTGTCAACCAAAGAGGCAGAGGCACAAATGTGTGACTCTGTCGTGGTGTCGCCAGGAGATCTTTGTCTGTGTCCATGTCACACACACAGAGAAAACTGGAGATGGAGGGGGTTGAATGAAAGGGAGTCAGAAAGTAAGGAAAGAAAGGAAAGGAAGGAGGACAAAAAGGCAGAAAAAGACAGGCCCAGACACCGAGGGGATAAAATGGAGAGCTGAATAACAACTTATTTTGGGGGCAATTATATAATCCGTCATTAAGAGAAAAAACTATTCAAGTCAGTTCTCCAATCACGCTTCGATATTGTGACATCAACATGTTAAATATCCAATGTTTAAAATTGTAACTGTATATTATCTTTGTTTCTCTCAGTCCACCAGAACTATGTGGGTACAGATGCAGAGAAGAATCCCTTCTACCTGTCAGTCGTCCTCTCAGACCAGAATAACCAGCGGGTTCCTCAGTACAGAGCCATCCTCTGGAGAAAGACGGTGAGTTCATCGTCTGCAAACCTCACAGCAGTGGTGGAAGAAGTACTCCAATAAAGGTAGCAATACAACAATTTAAAAATACTCAATTACAAGTACAAGTTGTACATTCAAAATTCTACTTAAAGGTCAGTTTAAAAGGATCTATTGTCAGAAATGGAATATAATGTTCATAGGAATGTTTTCATTAGTATATAATTTTTTTTTACCTTAGAATGAGCCATATTTATCTACAGACGCTGCGGGTCGCCTTCTTGTAGTCCACCATGTTAACCGTCATGTTTGTACAGTAGCCCAAAACGGACAAACCAAACCCTGGCTGTAGAAAAGGCCATTAGCCATTTCTGCAAGCAGTTTCTCCCTCAACACTTGGAAGGAGAGGGTGAAGCGAGTGAGCGAGTGAGTGAACTGGTCCTTCAAAGGTTTCCTGTGGAGTATTTGATCTCTAGTAGAGATATGGAGCAGTTTTATTTTTATGTGTTACCTTCCTAACCTTATATAATGTTAACTCTGATGTATTAATACGCAAGCAGCATTTTACTGTAGTAGCTGGTTGTGGTGGAGCTACTGTTATACAGTTTGACAGTTCAGTGCTTGGTCACAAGATAAATCTGAGGAGATCCTAAAATTATTAATGGGATGTAAAAAAGAAAATAACGAAGTTCTTCTACAAAAACTTATATACATTGTTTTTTTATGTATATTCATTGACTTTACTCTAAGCTTGCTTTTTTTTTATGGAATCACCTTTTTGATTCTTAAACAGGGCTCACAAGCCAAAGATGTTGGGAACCACGGGTTTAATCTTTAACAATTTATTGTATAATTGTACTGTACAAGTATAAAGTAGCATGAAATGGAAATGTTCAAGTAAAGTACCTCATAATTGGACTTGATGTACTTCTTACCCCAGACAGAAGGGAAAGTACTGAAACGTATAATGCACATCTGTGTTCATCTCAAACGTGAACATTTGTACACAGTCGTAGGTGGTACTTTGTCTGTGGTCTAAATATGAGAAAGCACAAAATGGGATCTTGAAGGACTGTGCTACTCCACTTTTGAGTCACTGTGTGTGTATGTGTGTGTGTGTGTGTGTGTGTGTGTGTGTGAGATGCATGTTCGTTATTGTGTGTTTCTAGTATGGTGACTCAGCTTCATGGCCAAGATAGCTTGGATCTAATTTTGGCCTCCAGCCTCATCTGGAACCTGATTAGGGTGGTGCACCTCCGCTGCCTGATCACATTGATTTGTCTTGGTTCTGTGAGACTCTAACTGGTACAGGATGTTGTTGTTGTTGAACAGAACAACTTTGTTTGGCCTGAACTGCTCTGGTTTAATTTAGTCCTCTGTAATTATTCTATGACTGATTGAAAAAATATGACGTGCGCTGTGAATTTCTTTTGGGAAATAGTTTGCAGGACATTCTTAAGTGAAAAAGTTTGAGCAAGTGGCTCCTCGGAGAAAAGGTGATTGAAGCACACTGTGCTAAGAGTTTTTAATCCCTGATCTGTGTCATTCTTGTTCGCTTAGGGCACTCTGAAGATCAGCCTCCCCTACAGCCCGACCAAAACACTATCAGTCAAGTCCATCCTAAGGTGAGAAGGGCAGCCTGGAGCTCTGAGCCAACACAGTTCATTCACTCTTTGATATCAATACATGTATGAGAATGAAATAATTTCACACTGCTGCTGAGACATAATGACTTCCATACAGTGTTACCAGATGCCAAATGTCAGTTGACACCAAAGCGCCCAATAAGAACCTCAAATTCACCCATTTACCATAAAAGTAGGCAAATTATGTATGTCCACTGAGGACAACACACACAAGCACAAACAAAAAATATATCAATAAATATGTTACACTGTTATTGGTTTTAATAATTTTGACAGTAGTAAATAGTGGAAAATGGCAATATTTATATTGCTTGTTTTGTCCAGAAAGAACAGTTAACTATAATATATGAAATAAAAATGGGCAAATCCTCACATTCGAAAAGCTGGAACCAGAAGATGTTCTTTTGCTTGAAAATGATTAATCAGTAAATAGTTGCTGATTAATTTTCTGTCAATCAACTAATTGATTAATAGACCAATGCGTCAGCTTCAGCCCTGTCATTTTCAATCATACTAACTGAAGAAGAGGAGTGCCAGATGAATAACAATGCTTTCTAACTTGGAACTTGGAAAATGGTACAAAAAGTTGCCCAAACAAGATTCACAAGATTCTCTACTTTGTACTATTTTATCAGCCAATCATATAAAAATAGCCCAATTGCTCTGATCTTGTCTAATCTGGCAACACTGTTTGCATAGTTTCTCTGCATATTTTACACCAGAACCTGATGTTGGAAAGAGTTATATTTTATAGTCATTCACTTCTTCAATATTATGTTTCCAGTAGCAGATTTCATGAGTGACTAGTAACAGGATATAATGAGATGCGTGAAACAGGAGATTAGAAATTCCTCAGGCTGAGCGGCCTCACCGCTCAAGCTCTGAATGACTACAAATGGTATAAGCAGGTTGAGAAATCCCCTGTATCAAGTCTCCTGCTCATTTTTCTGTTACCCTTTTGAGCTATTTGTCTTCCATCGATCCTAAACCCCCCTTTCTCTCCTTTTTTCATTACTACTTCCTCCACCCCCCCCCTTTTCCTTGTCTCTTTACTCCCAGTGCAATGAACATGGACAGGTTTGAGAAAGGCCCCAGGGAGATCCTCAACCCGGAGATTCAGAAGGTGAGAGTAACACCAGAGCATCAGCCAGCTCGTAATGAAATGTAGCACCAGTCCATTTCATGCCAGGCCTGATCAGCAGCATCTGAACTGTATTATATCCTCAGGCAATGTCATCTCTACCTGGAGTGCTGGTCAATGTGAATGATAATTGTTATGTCCTCTTTCCTCAGGATCTGCTGGTGTTGGAGGAACAGGAGGTATGGGATAATACTGCTTCCACAGTACAGTTTAGCTTATTTTCTTGACTGCTTTTTGTAGAGGTCTTTCCAGTCACATACCCACATATCACAGCAGATTAAAGACTGAAAATTAGCACTTTGACCGTTTGTCTTTCTTACAATAGAAGCACTGTATGTCAATAGAAAAAAAAATTAAATGCATGAATTGTAAATAATTTCATAATTTTAACCGGACTTTAATTTTACAGGGTTCTGTCAACTTTAAATTTGGCGTCCTGTATGCCAAAGACGGACAGCTCACAGATGACGAGATGTTTAGCAACGGTGAATCCTTTTCATTCTCAACTTGTTTCAGTGTCTGCATTTATTCAGGGGGTATAGTTCGGCATTTTATTTGCTTTCTTGCCAGTCAGATGAGAAGAGCTTAGCATAAAGACTGGAAACAGCGAGAAGTCACTCGCCTGGTTCTGTATGAATGTAACAAACCTACCAACACTTCTAAAACTCACCAGTTAACATGTTATATCTCATTTGTTTACTATGCCGAACCAAGAAAAAGTCAAGCATGTAACCCCCCATTTAGATTCGGTTGCTTTCGGACAGAACCAGGTTAGCTGTTTCCCATCGTTCACGGTCGTGCTAAGCTAAGCAAAGTCCTGTGTTTGTTTCAGAGACGGGGAGTGAGAGCTTCGACAAGTTTCTCAATCTGCTGGGAGATTCCATTACGCTGCAGGGATGGGCAGGTTACCGCGGAGGGCTAGACACCAAGAGTAAGAAATCTCACGTCTGCTGAATCACATTACATTAACATCATTTTAAAGTAAAGGGCTTTGAATATACCAATATTTCTCTTTGTCATTTTTCTGTTTGTCTCCTTTTACCTGCAGATGACACTACAGGAATTAAGTCCATCTACACAGTGTATCAGGGCCATGAGCTCATGTTCCATGTTTCCACCATGTTACCCTACTCTAAAGAGAACAAACAGCAGGTGGGCATCTGTATGTGTAGTTGTGTGTCTTTGCCCTGTTACATAGTATTTGTTGACATGAAATTTGGTACAGGCATTCATTACACAGAGGATAGAGCCTACTGATGACTGACGTCCTCTTGCACCACCAGCAGGTCACTTTCACTAATTCAAAGTCTAAACTATTATATAGGTCACCAGTAAGTTTGGCTTACACATTATGTTCCCCTAGGGATGAACTGTGGTCAAAATTGAATTGAATTAGTCCCCTATTGTGGTTAAACACCTGCACAACTAATTACATTCCCATCAGCTTCAGCTATACTTTATGTTTAGTGCTAATTAGAAAATGTTCGCATGCTAAACTAAGATGGTGAACATCGCAAACCTTATGCATGCTAAACATTTGCATATTAGCATCAACTTTAAGAACATGTTAGCATTCTGACGTTTGTATTTATCTCCAACACTTATGTGGCTAATTACAACCTGACAGAGTTTCTAGTATGGGAGTAGACTTTTAGTATTGTGCATTAATAATAATAGTAATGTTAACTCATCCACAAGAGACAGAAAACCACTTAGGTAGAAGGGAAGAGAAACAGCTGAAATTCTTTCTTTCTCCTCTTTCTGTACCTTTTGCATACTTCACTCTTCTTTCACCTTCACCTCTTGCCACCAACTCTGCTCAAAGATTGAATCCCTCTTGCTGTGCTATACACTGTTATTAGAGAAACTGCAGAAAGTTTAATTGCACATCAGTCACAAGTCTTCATCTCTCTGTCATTTTGCAGAGAAAAGACTGCACTTTAACAGTGTACTGATAGGAAACTAGTACAATGGCAGCCAACTTGGCAAAATGTGCTCACTTTAGGAAGAAAGGGAGAAGAAAGGACGCTATTGCTTTGCTGTAGAGCTCCATTCTGTTATGCCAATATTAGTGAGTATGATTTTAAAGGGCTGGTGCTTAGCAGATCTGACACATAATTGGATTTCTTCTTAAGATAAAAAAAGACATTCAGGCGGTCAATAAAAAGGAACAGTCTGTGCTCGTACCACGTGTGAAAGTCATTCTGCACTGTGAAGTCAGTTCAGCTTAATTGGTGAAAGTTGTGGTGTTGTCTGTGTGTCTGAAGATTTTTGTGTGTATAGCCTCACTGGTCATGGGGCTAAAAAAGTTCATCCTGAGGGTAAAGCTGGAAGAAAAGATATGAACTGAATAAAATCAAAAGGATTTATCCTCTTTGGAGCATGATTGTGCAGAGGTAATTTCAAAGCAGTCTGCCTCAAAGATAATGAAAACTGACATTTGGCCTGATTGTAGCACTAGAAGTGTCCACAGTAGAGATGTTTTATTCATTTTCTAGATATGTTATTATGAATCAAGGAGTTGATGGTGCTGCTCAAGAGGTTGTTGTTATTGAGATGTCTATCTCTGGAAAAAAAAAGAAAAATTGGATGGACACACATATCACGGGCCAAATAAATAAAATACAAATAAAAATAGAAAAATATATTAAATTGTCACTGACCTGGAGAGGATGTCTGGCAAAGATAACATAATAAAAAAGCAAAATAGAGATGGCGAAACACATAGGTGAGACAGGAGTCTATAGTGCAGTAGATGTGCTCGATGTTGTTGCCTCTGAAGTTTTGAGATCAAAGAGTTGAAATTATTACCGCTCCTGAAAGTGTTTATGATGCTGAGAGCTTGGAAAATGTTTCCTGTTAGAATTACACCCTCTCACACACACACACACACACACACACACACACACACACTCCCCATCATTGCAGCCTTACTCAGTACCTCATCAACAGAGTAATGCAGAGTAATTAACTTTATAGCAGCTATAATTAATATTTTTTGTTAACTGTGGATGAAATGGCTTCATGTAATGTGAAGGGTGTCGCTCATAATGATGAACCCACAGAGAATTATCACCCAACTCTATACCGATACCAGTATCAGGTATTGGGTCCGATACTGTGTTCATGTGCTGGTAATTTTAATCAGAAAACTGCTCCGATACCGCTTCACCGCAACCTTCCCACATCTGTTTCCTGCCTTACAAAATGTGAAAGTCAGCTGCTTTTATTTATTTTATATCATCTTAAATGCTATATTTTATAGGTTTTATATTGTTGGTCAGAAACAACAAGTAATCTGAAGGTATCTGTGAAGTCACCCAACACCCAATCTCCTTTACAACATTTATTTTTCTTCCCTCAGCTATATGGAGCGTTTTAGCTTCTTTCGGCTCAGTTTCGGTTATACAGCCTGCAGCGTTACTGTTATGATTCACTCTAACCGTTCTCATCAGTGTCGCTTCCTAACACTATAAACAAATGTTTTACTGAAAAAGACCAGATGGACCCACTTAACGCTACCTTCCCAGCACCAAACAAAGTCAGCAGCTAAATAGCCACATATATCCCACATGAGTTTGTGTCAACCAGTGATTTTCAAACTGTGAGGTGCAACTCCCTAGATGGGGGGGTTATGCACGCTGATTTGGCCCGCATAGCAACAAAGTCAACAGCAGTAGCAGCGCTGGCTGTGACAGACAGATCGTGAAGGTAATTAAGGTACTTAGCGCCCGTTGCCGCAATTTGCGTCAAACATCATACTCCTTCTTGGAGTTACACCTCAATCAAATTTAAACACACAGACATGATTCGTATATTTTTAGATTCAGCATGACTTACAGTTCCCAGATATCATTTTCTCTGATGTCACAAATACATTTCCATAAATCAGAGATAAATCTGTAAAAAGACGCTCCTTATATCTGAAAGTTTTTAGTATCACAGTAATCCAGTGTCTAGTTGTCTGTACATTCATGGGTACAGACAAACAGGAACTACTAATAGCTACTTCGGCATACTTTTAAAGGCCAAAATGAAAACAAATATAGGCTAAGAAAACAGGGCTCAAGTTGTAGCCCACAGCAATAACTCACTGAATCCACAGCAACAGGGCGTGTTGGGGGGGATTACTTGAAGCTTAGGGCAGTGAGGGGAAGTTGCTGGTTTTTCCTCATCTCGCATCTCTTTGGTCTTTTCTCTCTGGCAGGTGGAGAGAAAGAGACACATTGGAAATGACATTGTTACCATAGTATTCCAGGAAGGGGATGACGCATCGTCGTCCTTCAAACCGTCTATGATCCGATCGCACTTCACCCGTATCCTTCATGTGGACAATGACTGTCAGAGAAATGAAGTGGTAATCAGCAACATGAGCCATGTTCAGAGGAGCTTCGGCTATTGAACACGTCAGCCCTGTAACACTAAAGTGATATGAATCACTATTGTGTCTACTGAATAAACTGTGTTTCCTTTACTTCGCTACCAGATATTTTTGCATTAGTTAGGTATAATAGCCAGAATGACAGTTACAGGTGAGTGCTTTGATTAATGCTGTGGTTTATGGTGTTCCCATCTAGATGTTGACTTTCCCAACCTAAAAAACAAACTTTAATTCTGGCTGCTACATCCTCTTAAATGTTTCTGTGATGACCTTGATTAAAAAGAGCAGTTTGCTTTACTTTACCATACTGTGTCGTGTGCTCTACACCCACTGTAAGTTATATATCTGCTCTCTGTCACAGGTTGAAGATATTCTCAGAGGAGAGTGTTCCACTGTTTGGACCCCCTCTCCCATCTCCGCCTGTATTTACTGATCACCACGAATTCAGGGACTTTTTATTAGTCAAATGTAAGCAAAAAACAAAGATATATACATTACAGTTTGACCAATAAAGCTGTATCATCCCTATGTATTTATTTTTTCTAATCTGCTTGCTCTCCTGCAGTAATCAATGGAGAGAAAGCCACACTGGAGACGCCAACATTTGCCCAGAAGCGTCAGCGGACCCTTGACATGTTGATCCGCTCGCTCTACCAAGACCTCATGCCTGACCTGCACAAGGTACCACCAGTCTAGTTTTTATACTTGCTCTTGTCAGTTCTTGGATGGACATAGTTTTTGGCTGTCCAAGTTGTCTCTTCTGTCTCCTCCTTGTCACTTCAGTCACTGGCAGCGACTGTAGCCACTGCTGTTCTGCTGTTTCCACTGCAGCCCTCAGTCTGCCTCTGCATACTGCACCACACAGGCTGGATACTACTGCAATGCTGACTTTCTCAGCAGGGCTCTCTCTCCTCACATCACTTTTGTTCTTATTTCCCTTGTCCCCCCCTCCCCTTTCACTGTTGCTCCTAACACGACTTAGTCCTCACTGTGTTTCACTGCTGCTGTTCTCACCCCCTGCCAGGGTCAATCTCTAAGACCCCTTTCTGCTTTCTCTTTTCCACTGTGTGTGTGTGTGTGTGTGTGTGTTGGTGTTCCACGTTTAGGTTCCTTTTTCTCCTCAGAACATGCTAAATCGGCGGTCCTTCAGCGACGTGCTGCCTGAGTCTCCAAAGTCGGCACGCAAGAAGGAGGAGGCACGGCAGGCCGAATTTGTCAGAATAGGGCAGGTAATGAAGTTATAAACACCCACATGTACACACACACATACACACCCAGACAAAGGTGGGCACATACAAACAGCATACATGGACAAACACACCTGATCACCTAAGAAACCTAGACACACATGCACACGTAAACGCAGATGTTGATTGGCTGTACAGTACGTACATCGAAGGTCAGTCAGATTTAGACGAATAAAGTCAGTAACTTCCAAACTTTTAGTACAAAATTCACGAGTTTTCTTACTGTTTCTCAGTGAAACATCGAGGGCATTTTATGCTAAATAGACTAAAACTTTGGAAGATTTTTTTTCTAACTCAAGTGGCTTAAGACTTTAGAGATATTAGCTTCAGTTAAATTCACAGTGTATTTCTGCACAGAACAAGGGCTGTGGATTTTGACACCCATCACTGACATTAGAATTGCATCAGGAAGGGATCTCTTGATACTGGCACCTGACCCTTGTTTTAAGACAGACTTTCAGGCACTGGGAACCCTTTGACCAAGGTGGAAATGATTCAAGCTCATGTTCAAGCAGACTGGAAGCATTTAAAAAGTTAGGAAAAGGAGACTTTGACAAGATTCCTTGATAGATAACTGATATGTTCTGATAGATAACTGTTGTATTTGCCTCTTTACTACAAATATAGCTGTGCTTTGAGACCGGTATCTTATTTTTGACTGATTCTAGAATCTTTTTTAGGACAATATTAACTGTAAATGTAAAAAACTGTAAAAATATATATTAAATAATTATGTTAGTGGGCAGTACCTTTTTCCAGCCCTGAGTAGTGTATGCAGATATTCATTTCAGGCTGCATACTGCCCCAACAACCTCAAGCAATGAGGCTGCTTGTAACATGGAGCAATAACAGGGCAAAAAACAATCGCAAAGGACTCGCCGCACCACTTGCTGCTTCTCATTAAGCTCTTTGCTTTGAGCGCACGGTAATAATTGAAGGCGACTTAGATGAGTGTATCAATGACATGCCCCTTCCTCCATCCCCAATGGAAATTAAGCTCCTGTATGTCATACAATCAACTTGTTTGGCTGTGCAGTAGTGTAATTAAAAACAGAAGGAATAAATGAGTGATGTTTTACTTTCCACACACAGAAATACATATCCAACACAGATATGTTAAGCAGGTAGGTGTAAAAAAGTATTGGTTACCTTTTACAGGCATACAAGAGGTATAAAACCAAAATGTTTACAAATTATATCATGGTGAGCATTTAATACTCGATTCTGCTGTAGACACTTTATAGCAAAAGGCACAGAATTACTGCTCAAATGACAGAGAATATATTTTAGAAATGTTACGGTGCACGGAGGATGTTATACTGGTTTTTGATCAGTTTCTGTTGTGAAGAACACTTCAGATTTCAGCTGTAATGGGGTGCTTAATACACAATGAAGCGGTGCTTTTTTTGTAAGCCGTATACACTCTTTGCTGCCAAAGCAAGTGCATTTTTCAATTCTGACACAATGATGAGCCAAATAGAAAAACTGTGACTCTAGGAGAATCTATGGACATCTTTAAAAACCAGCCTCTCTTAGATCTGTGACTCTTTGTACTACGATAAAGTCTTTTAAAAGGTGTAAGTCCTGACAGACTGAGTGAACTGGACAGCTGCTTTCAGGAGGGTCAGGATGGAATAATAAGTACGATCCAGTAGTTATTACGGTGCTGATGTAATCATCATTACACCTCTGTTCTGGGTGCTGATATAACTATAATTATACAGGAACAAAGTCTGAAAACACAAAGAAGAAAAGTGTATATATATATAAGTGTCCATGCTGCTGAACCTAGATTTTTTTCTGGCTTTATGGAAATCATTCATTTCAGGTTATTTTTCAGATAACAGATATTCTTTGGACTAATGCCTAACTAATTCCTGTTTTGATGTGATATACTGTATATGATGATGTTGCTGAGAGTCTTAAACTAAATGAAATATGTTTCGATTGTGCCCTAAAGCCCCAGGGAAACTGTGTCTGTGAATAGAGTCTTAGTAAGACAGAGAAATATTACATAAGTGCAATGAATCAGAAATTGTTCTTAATAGTCATTTTACACTCACAAATCAAATGCAATCCAAAATGTGTTCCTATTTTTTAATAACAGTGAGAACCCTTGTCTTCATCATCACTCCACTAGGTTGCTGAGGCTTATTTAACTCATGTTGTGTGAAACAAACTGTTAGAAGCAATTGTCGGCACCTTTTTTGAATTGGTTCTAAAGATACATGTTTATCCAACTGAGGTATTTCTTCCTGCCTTGTTTCCTTTGTGTGTCATCTCCATTTGCTAACGCTTCCTCTTTGTGTTACTGTTTGTGTTTTCTACCTTGTTTGTCTTGTTTCTGTCGCTCTCTGCTCATAAACACAAAGCTGAGGCATCGACATATTGGGCTGTAAAGCGTGAAAACAAAGGAAGGTAGACGTGTCGAGTCACTGATTGGCCACTCTTGTAGAGACAAGGCGTTGGTCCTAAACTAAACTGACTCTCTGTATGCTTACTCATTGTGTGATGCACATTATATGCAATGATTTTCTGTTGTCATTTTTTCCCACGAATAGCAGAGTACGCTGCACAGCCAAGCCATTGTACTACTGCTTGATATTGATTTCATTATCTCCAGACTGCCTGTTTATGCAGATATGTAAATAGAAACGCCTGACTGTGCAGCTTGGATTGGAAATTGTTAATCTGATCAGAGGGCTGCTGCTTGAGCAATTGTGCAAACTATATTCTATTTGTAATGTGAAGCAATTACACCTTTTATTTAATGTGAGATTTTTTACTGTTGCCAGTCTGCTTGTCCAAATCATTTCCACCTCTGTGAGACCAGACCGCCACAGTTCTCCGTGCCTAAATAAGCATAGAAACAATGGCAGGCTAGTTATATATCAGTGATGGAAAACAAGGTGCATAATTCAGCAAGCCCAGACCACCGCTGTCCTTCTTATAACTAATTGATATGCATGATTCACATGCAGTACAGACTCATTTATCCCATGCGGGTTCTGTTATTTGAATGTCTTGTACAGACATTGTAAAATGATCAAGCACATAATTTAGTGAGACATATTGAACAATCCAGCAGTGATGCAAAGTAGTGAGAGTGCACTGTACTGTACTTGGGTACAAATTTGAGGTACTGTTACTTTTGACATTTTAAGTACATTTTGCTGATAACATTGCTGTACTTTTACTTAAGTATAATTTTGAATGCAGGACTTTTCTAGTACCATTCTTTTACCTATATGGAACAGCATAACCACCGTATTTTTACACAGTTACATTGGTGCTTTTACTTTAATAAATGATCTGAGTACTTCTTCCAGCACTGCAAGCCAAAGAACTGACGTCTCTGTCTTGTGTCATATCTTTGATGCCATTTCATCTTTAGGCTCTGAAGCTGAAGACCATTGTGAGAGGAGATGCCCCAACTAGCCTTGTTACCACAGGCCTGTGCAGAAAAGAGGTGAGGTGCACAAAAGCTTCATCTTAACAAGTAATGTAATTTTTTGCTGAATCCAAACATGCTATATTATTTAAGGAGTTCAAAGAAAGTTTTATTCCTTTTTTAAAAAATCACTTACTTCACTTTCACTAACTTTTTCTAGTCCACAAGTAGAGGCCAACTGTTACTGTTTCTTGACTCCAAAATGTATCCATATTTGATAGTTTGAAATATCAACAATATATATAAGAGAGAAATTATTTTTTCTTTTTTTTACATAAACACACATTCTTTATTAAGATCTCTTATTAAGGAGCCGTTATCAAACAATTGTGACCAAGACATGAGCTATGCCAAAGCTACCTTAAACATGTCTTTGGCATCTTTATACTCTCTCTCATCCGTAATATTATGACCACTGACTGGTAAAGTGACACTAATCACAACACTGATTATCTGGTTATCATGGCTCCTGAAAGTGGATGGGATATATTAGGCAGCAAGTGAACATTTTGTCCTCAAGCTGATGTTTTAGAAGCAGGAAAAATGGGCAGCGTGAGGATTTGAGCGACTTTGACAAGGGCCAAATTGTGATGGTGAGACGACTGGGTCAGAGCATCTCCAAAACTGCAGCTCTTGTGGGGTGTTCCCGGTCTGCAGTGGTCAGTACCTATCAAAAGTGATCCAAGGAAGAAAAAGCGATGAACCAGAGACAGGGTCATGGCTCATTGATGCACATGGAGAGCAAAGGCTGGCCTGTGTGGTCCGATCCAACAGACGAGCTACTGTAGCTCAAATTGTCAAAAAAGTTAATGCTGGTTCTGATAGAAAGGTGTCAGGACACATGCATCGCAGTTTCTTGCATATGGAGCTGCATAACATTATTACCACCAGGATGCCCAGGTGGTGATAATGTTGTGGCTGATCGGTATATATGCAAGTACTGATATATCTTCCGATTGGTGAGGCTCTAGAATCAAGTATTGTTATTTAATTTCTTTTCTCATTGTTTTCTTGATATTGCAGCAGCAAACCTGCCTGATTTAACTTACTATTACTTGATAAAAATGCACAGAGAATAAGTGGATTTATCTCACTTTGTCGACTAAACTTGCAGAACTTGTTTTAAGAAAATAAGCCTTGAAAGATAAACACTAGCTTAAATGTATTTAAGTGTGTATATGGCTTGCCACATCCATTCATTTTGGTGTTAAAGAGTTTTTTTTATATTCTGCCAAAGCAAGTGGATATTAATTCCAATATATCTGTCTCTGTGTATATCTAAATGTGTTTGTATGTGCATGGACGCTGTAGCCATGGGAGTCCCAGCCGTTCTGCAGCACATTCCCCTATGAGATCGTGTGTGCTGACTCCTGGGGTCAGTCTCTGCTGGCCGCCACCGACGCAGCGGGAGTCATGCTGCTGGATGGTGAGGTCATCCCTAATCGATATCTCCCTATGTCCTCTAAAATAACCCATCCATATCCATTCAATACTGCGCTCAGCAGAATGCCAAGACCAACAGCTAACATGATGATGATAATGATGTTGTGCACGTTTCAGGCCCTGATCCAGCTTTGCCCAATGCTGGTGAGTGCCACATACCTTCCTGTTCCTTGCTCAGAGGATTTATTTTTTTTACAAATATTGCAGCCTCAATTATGACATATTTATCTGCTTTCACTCGTCTTTTTATTTTGATGTATGCGTTGTGTTTCAGAGACGCAAGCTTTGCCCCCAGTGCAGGTGTTTGACAAAACCATGGTGGTGAAGCAGATGCACGTTCTCGAGCCTCAGGACCTGCTTATCACCAGGGCTGACAAAGGTAGGCTTAGACTACAAGAAGAAAGGAGGATACTGGTTAACAACCCCTCCCTGCACATCAGACACTGCTTCCCCAAGAACCATCCTTCATCATCCACTCATTCTTTTTTTTCTTTTTTTGCAGCAGAACAGTATTTACAGCACATCTCCTTTCTCATTAATCACATTCCCTTCTCTTATTTCATCTCTGTCATCTCTGCCTGTGTTTTTGAGTACATACTTACCCTTTCCACCTCCATTGGCTCAGTGAACACATTGATCTCTGGCTGTGATCTAAGGCAGCTGACCTATAGAGAGCCAATCCCTGTGTGTGTGTGTGTGTGTATAAGTGAGTGTGTGTCTGTTTATCCTGCAGGACTAGATTGACAGTGTGTGTAGTGGCCTATAAAGGACTGACAGATATGCAGACGGATACAGATAAAAAGAAACCTACAGGCATAAAAAGCACAAACAGTATATACAAGAAGTCACTACGCACTAACAAACAGCTGTAGGATTCGTCTCATGTTTGCCTCAACCAGAAGAGCATGTAATTAATTACCATGCAGATGATTAGCTAACCCTAATATTGACAAACAGGGTTGACTCGGTTTTGATAGTGATTATGTGATGGCAGCGCAAACATTTGTCACGACTGTGTGTGGGCTTTGATAAAGCTTCTGAAAGAGCACGAGCCTTAAGAAGCCTTCTAGTAATCCCCCCACAGTACAACACCATTGTCTGGCCGTGGGAGGATGCTAAAAAAGAGATGGCAAATTAAGAGTAACCTTCATGCTAAACAGAAGTGGCTTTTGTTTTTGTTTCCAGGAAAGGACGCTCGGCTCTATGTGTTCAGACTCAGCACGCTCAAGAGAGGCCTGGAGGAGAAGCAGCTCGTCAGAAGCAAGTGTGACAGCCGGGAGAATAAACTGGAGAAAACTAAAGGTACAACACCATGTAACCTGGCAAAGTAAAGTTTAATAGTCTAATGCAAATGCTTGACACGATTATGTATATGTGATAAGAAAAATATCTTCTAATCAGCCTAAAGCAGGATATAGTGAATGCCCTTTTTGCAAACACACAACATTTGACCTGCCGCTAGGTCATGCCAGCTGTCTGTGGTGGATGCATTGATCTGTGGGATGATGCCAGGGAACAACACCTACAGCACAACACATGTCCAATATACTCTGTATCTCCATCTCCACGCCCGCCTCCCCTCCTCCCTTTTTGTCCCAGGCTGTCATTTGTACTCTATCAACACCCACCACGGCTCAGAGCTGAGGATAGTAGCAGCCATCAGGAACAAACTCCTCCTCATCACCAGGAAACATCCCCGTTTTGAAGGTTTCAGCGCTATCGCGCCTGGAGCAGACTCACCGGTGGAGGAGTTTCAGTACATACGGGTACAACAAGTTCTAAATGAATGAATTAAAAAATAATAATAAATAAATTGATAGAAAGAATAATCAATTGGTGAATGAAAGCTGCTTTCTCATAAAAAGAAGATATTAGATTTCCCTTATTTTTCTGTCTATATACAGTAGCTGGGGTTATTAAAGGTCTGATATAGAAATACTAAATGAGGTGAAAGAAACAGGTACATGCAGGTGTTAAAAATAAAGGGGAAGATACTTATTGCATTTGGCCCGCTTACTAACATGGTTAACAGTTGGAGCTGCAGCAGAGACACAGCTCATGGAGGCAGTTTAAGTACATTAATTGCCTCAAATTTGCATCAAAAATTGTACTTCTTCTAAGAGTCAAGTCAAGTCAACACACAGACACAATACACAGATTTACACACACATTCCGTTTGACTTACACTTTCCCAGGATCCTCATCACATAAACAAATAAGTTATAAATCAGACAAAATAAGCTCCTTAAAACTTCAGCCTATTTTTAAGTGATAGTTGTCTGTGCATCTATATGTACATTACAAAAAGGAACGGCTAATAGGTAATTTGGCATACTTTTAATGGTGCCAGTTCAAAATGTAAACAAAAACAGGCTAAAGGAACAGTGTTCAAATTATAGCCCATAGCGTTACTCACTGAATCCATAACATAGACTGTGAACATATAAATATATGGGCTGTCTGTATGTACTATCTTTGGAATATCCCAACAAAGCCAAAGAAAAATCATTGTGTAATAATAAGAGTGAAAGAGAGTGAAGAAACTTTTTTCATTATATACATATACATATGTATTTTTATCGTAACTGAGACTGTGACATGGAGAGATGTGGAGATGGGGTTTGAGGGGTCAGACTTTGAAAACCCCTGTCCTAAAGCTATCAATGTATTATACACAGACAAACCTATAATTCTATTAAAGAAATTAAACCAGGTTATTGTGTACTGTCCCCCATTAGGAGATCTGTCTGTGTGACCCGCCGGTGGTGATGGCGCTGGTGGACGGGCCGACGGGGGAAAATGACAATATGATCTGTGTGGCCTACAAACATCAGTTTGACCTGATCAATGAGAGCACTGGAGATGCCTACCGGCTACATCATGTAGACGCAAACAGGGTGAGGCACACTAGCACGCTCATGTGATATATTCGCTGAAGTTGAGCAGAACTGAGATCTTCAGTTGGACCAGTTAGTCGCTTTATTTACTTGCTAATTACCAGGCTGTTTGGGTGAATCAACATGTTGTCATTCACAGCCACCAGCTGTGGCGGAGAGGGAGGGGAAATGAATGACTAGGCTGGAGAATGAACAGCTGTTCTAATTTAACCATATTCTGCTTTAACCATCTCTCCTTTGAAAGAGCAACCAACATAAGTAACTGTTGTAGAAATCGATCTTTTCTATTGCCTGGATGATTACCCAGTGCCTTGAGGATATGTGACATGGCATTATTTGTAAAAAACGATCTCTCTTATCTGATCTTTGGATCTTGTTGAAATGATTCTCCTAAACTGACTCGTCTCTGCCTGCAGGTAAATTTTGTAGCAGCCATTGATGTGTATGAAGACGGGGAGGCAGGTCTGCTGTTGTGTTACAACTGTGAGTCTCCCTTAAACTCTGAACATTTCAGATGTTATTTGATTCAGGTCTCTGTCTCTGCTGTCGAAGCCTTAATGTTTTCCCTCTGCCACCGCGCCTTCCTGGAATAAAAATCACAGCATAGACTGCTCCAGAATATTAAGAGTCAGAGATGAATTATGAAAATGCAGCCATCTACTTTGTCTTTTGTCTGCTATGTTTTATGTCTGGATAATAGGACAAATAGCTCTAAAAATTCTCTGAATTACAATAAAATGCTCTCAGTCTTCATTCCAAACACAGACTAAAAACAACAGTAAACAGAGAGTAAATAATTTTATTTAAAAGTTGAACCTTTTTCCTCTCTGTCTCTTACAGATATTTGTTACTATAAGAAAGTTTGTCCGTTTAACGGTTCCACGCCGATGATACAGTCCAACACCTCCGACTTCCACTTCAGCTGGAACCAGATGCCCAATGCTATTGGTAAGTTACCACGGCAACAACACTTGGGCCCCACCCTGCCCATGCTGTTGGCCTGGCCGGAGCTTGCTGTCACCATGGAAACACCATGTGTAGCCACAAGCATCCAATTGGTCTATGTGATTATTTGTGTTTCTGTGTGTGTGTGTGTGTGTGTGTGTGTGTGTGTGTGTGTGTGTGTGTGTGTGTGTGTGTGTGTGTGTGTGTGTGTGTGTGTGTGTGTGTGCGCGCATGTATATTGTGTCTATGTTTTTATTAATACAGGAGGTGATGAAAAGCAAACACAATTGGTACTAAACCCTGACCCTGTTGATAACAACATGTAGTTCTCTTCTCCTCTCAGGTCTACAGAGCATTTTAGCGTCTTTCAGCTCATTGTTTTAGTTTTTATGGCCTGTAATTTTACTATTTTGTTTCACCCTTACTGCTCTCATCAATCCATTTCCAGCTGCAACAGACAGCTGTTCCTTTAAAAGAAAAAAACACCTGCCCAGCACCAAACAACTGACAGATAAGGTTAGCAACTAGCTGGTGAACATAGTGGAGCATTTAGCTCCTAAAGAGCTGGATATTTCTCAAGAGTTAGTGGAGACCAAAGAGAGTGCAAAAGAGAAGGAGAGTGAATATTGGACTTACATCCATCAGGTGGCCAGAAACACAACTCCACATGAATGCTAATGTGGTCTGTATCTGCTGAATGTATAAATAGTCAACTATTTGCTAACATGTTCGCCATGCGAACACTTATATGGTGATAATAAGTCAGTGTTGTTTTTAAAGCTTGTAACACTGCCCCCAAGTGGCCAAGAAATCGGTAATAGCAGGTTTAGGTTTGGTTTATGTGAGAAATATAACAAAAAACAATGCACAGATCTATCACTTCCATATTCAGTCTTGGTTAGTTACTCAGTCCGTTCAATTAGACGTAATATTAAACCATCTCTTTGCTGTCAGATGGTTTGTTTGTAGGTTTTACAGAACTTAGTTTTACTTGTCGACTCTGTCCTCCATGTTCTGCCACAGTTTGCTCTCACCTTGTCGTGAGAGCGAATAGAAGAAACTTCTAGAGCGTCGAGGAGAGACATTCAGCCTGATTCTCATTATTCTGCATACATGATTGGCTAATGATGGCATTTCAAAATGCCATTCTGGGTTCAACTCTTAAATGTCTCATATTGTGGGAGTTGGGCAGTTTTGTTGGTGGGGGGGTGTTGTTTTCCTGATGTCCCCTGTTGATCATTTGTAGCTGGTTTTATCATATGCTCATGTTGTCTTTGCAGTCTGTGCATTTCCTTACATCCTTGCCTTCACAACGGACTCCATTGAGATCCGACTGGTGGTCAATGGCAACCTTGTATACACAGCAGTGGTCCCAGAGCTACAGTTGGCTGCTTCACGGGTCAGTATGATTTACAGCAATATCATGTCCTTGCCCTGCTTTTGTCAACAATGTACACTACAACTGTCTAAATTATTTATTTTATGTATATTTTATGTCCAAAACTGGTGTGCACCGACAACACACTTGGTTTCACTATAGCAAGAGCCCTTTTCGCTTGAGAGTGTTTTCAGCGTTAGAAGGTCCCACACTGCGTTATAGAAGTAGCTGTCTCAGCTCTCTCATTTCAATCAATCTTTATTACCCTGGTGGGAAATATGGCTGGCAATCTGCATGGCTACAAAGCAATAATACACTCATAATTCAAACACATACGTAATTTAAAAGAGACTACAGTGCACCTACTATAAAAATAATTTTTCCTTTTCTAATCCATTGTTATGTTTTTTTCTGCCTCTGTCATCTCTGGTATTGTTACATGTTACATGTCTCTGTATTGATCTTATTTCCTCTCTACATCCTGTTTTTCCACCCATAGTCGGACATCTATTTTGTTTCGTCGGCTCCGGTGAGCTCAGCCTCCAACTGCAGTTCGAGAGACACCAGTTCCCAGAGTTCCCCGCAGACGCCCACTGGCTACGAGATGCCAGTGTTCCCCTCACCGCTTGGTGATGGTAAGCCCCGCGCAGCAAAAGCACTAGAGGATGTTCATATTGTGAATAGTGCTTCGGTATGAAAGATTTTCAAATGTCAATGTTGCCTGCAGACCTGTTTGACTTTGGATGCTGCTGCATTAGCCTACAGCTCAAGATCCATTTACATAAACTCGTCTCAGCAGAATGGTTTGTTGAAGCCACAGCCTTTCTCCTTTATTTCTCACTGTTAAATTGTGTGTTTCTAGGGCAAGATAAAAAAAAAGATTTAATTGCATTCATCTCTTCCATCGTTATTACCTCATCCTTTCCACACTGTGTGATGCTGACATAATTTAGTCTAGACAATTATGAAAATCGTTGGTGCTTCAGATCCAGATCTTCAGAAAATCTCCTTTCCATAGCTGCATTTTTAATATAACTTATATAACCCTACTAATTACCTACAAATCTTGTTAACTTTACATTACAGCTGACCATTTTCCAAAGATTTCTGATTAATCTCCAGCCATTTTTAAAAACGTGGTTTTAATCCTTTAGTATTTGGATGTATTAAATAAATAATTATATTTATTTAATACTTATTTATAGTTAAGTAAGAGAAGAAACAGATGCATAAACTTGGAGAACGGCATAAGAAGCTCGTTAACACAACAGAAGAAAGGTAATTAATTTGTTTCACTGTCATTGTTCCTTTTGTCAGTGCAAACCTGAATCATTTTGATAACTTTCCCTGCTGGTGTGTTCAAGGACCCTCTGACATCCAAGAGCTTACGGCTGATGAGCAATGCTTTGACGAGTAATGTTGTCAGTCTATCTAACATAGAAGAGAAACAAGCACATACATGGTAGAAAGGATAATATGAGATATGTTTTGCACGTTTTTAGAATAAAGTTGGTACCAATAAATAAACTGTATCAGGCTTTGGTTACACAGGTAATGCTTTAAAGTAGCATCAATGCATTGTTGATTTTGGTCTTGGAGCTTCCTTGAACACAGCAATTTTCAAAACAGTCATCAATATAACTTAACTTTTATGCAATGATAACATAACGTTGACATAAAACAAGGCAACAAAATGTCTACTGTGATCTATTGTGTGTCTCTTGCAAATTGATTTTCAAACAACAATTAAATGAATGGAGACCCATGGTTGCGACATAGGTAGCAATTCAGACTAAATATTAATTATATGGAAAATGGTTGGCAGTTTGTAAATGTAATTTGTAGTTAAAGGGCTCAGACATTAAAAAGCATCATTAAAATTCTTACAAACCACAAATTACAAAAAGAGGAACAGACTAATCACCCACATACCTCCTCCCACCACCACCACCACCATTCAAGGGACACAATAAAAGTGTCCTCCTTGGCAGAGAATGCTTTCAAGGATGATTGAGGATCAATATGAGCCTCTCCCTCCCACCCTCCAGCCCACTTCCACTCCCTCCTCCATCTTTCATTGTGTATTTGACCATTCGGAGTCTCCCTTCCCCCCACGACTGACCTCTTCCATATTGAAACAACTGTCTGAAAATGGGGCATATATTTGTGATGCACAGCTGTCATTAATGTTGATAATGACATACAGGTTTGTCATTCAGAGCCAACAGACCTGATGGATCGCGGCAATGTCAACTTCACGTTGTTCATTAGACTTTCTCTCTGTTAAAAGGGACACAAAGTGCATCCATGTACTTCTGAGGGCTGCAGTGAAGGACAAGGCTGGAGGAAAACAATAATTAAAAAAAATATTTAAATGTCCTGGTTGTGTGGCTCCTGCTTCACCATCAAGGCAGACCTTCTCTGTTTTCCTGGGGGGAGTGGGTATTTACAGGTCCCATTAAGGCTAACAGGGAGGAAGGTTTGGCTGTCGCCGCTGCAATTAGCCAAGGATGGGCTTTATGCTTTTAGGCTGGTTCGGGTAATCATTTCTCTCGAAGGGATTCTCATTTTCTTTCCTGTTTTAGCTGGTTATGCATCTGATTCTGCATCACTGGGAGTTACCTAACAGAGAACCTGCTGTGTGTGTGTGTGTGTGTGTGTGTGTGTGTGTGTGCCTAAATATATGTTACTGTGTGTGTTCCGTTTGTGTAACCCTCTTCTTCATCCCTGGTTCAGATTCTATACGGATCCCCTATGGTACCAAGCTTTCCCTGTACATGTCTAAGGATGCCGAAGGTACTGCAGGATTTCTCCCACAACTCGTTCTCAGTTCATGAAAACGCTCATATTGCTGCCCCACTAACATGCACATGCTCCCAGAGTGTATCACCCTGTCTGCTCCAAGGCGGCATGTTGACTTGAACGTTGGTTGAATGTTAAGTGAACATTATGTCTTCCCCATCCCCCCTTCTGTCTTAACTAATTAAAGCATTAGTGCGAGGAGAGAGTGAGGAAAAAGGTGATAGAGTGCAAAGTAAAAAGTGAAGCAGAGGAGATAACGTCGATCAAGGCAGAGGGATTTTTAAATTACGTGGGGGGGAAGAGAGGAGGAGACGCAGAGAAGGTATGCATGACTGCGAGAGAAAAGGGAGGGGTTGTGTACAAGCAGGAGGTTGGGGAGAGAAGGAGGTAGAAAAGGGAAAGAGGGAAGGAGAAGACACGTCTGCCGCAGCATGATTTACAGATTGCACTGTCGCCATGGAGACTTTTGTCAGCCCTCTCTTCGATCCAAAGTGGTAGTCCAAACAGCGGTGCCACAATCTGAGGGTGAGGGTGGGTGGGGGGCTGTATAGCAGAGGGAGGTGGGAGGAGGCTGAAGAAGGGGAAGAAAGGTGGAAGGGGTGCTGACAAAAATCCCATCCTCTAACTGCCTGTGCGCCTGCCGTATCTGCTCCTTGGGGAGGGTTTCATCTGATGTAATCGCATCAGTAATGTGAACAAGATGCTGTTACTGATGTGGCTGCTGGCCACCACTTCCCTCCACTGGCTTAAACACACACCGAAGACCTGCAGCAAAGCAGCTCTGGAGAATTCGACCTCAATTAGTGCTGAAAACCCTAATATTTATATTTAATTCATTTGCCAGTGCGATGGAGCATGACACTTCCCCTGGTCCAGAAATGCATGTGGAATATATTGATCTCTGTGACTATATATTCCAAATAACTGCATGCTTTCCCACATTTTGGTTTTATTGCCATTTTTTTTCCTGTATGACAGCGCAGGTACAGGAGAGAGGATCTGTAACAACGCTAACACAGTGTACCTGTCAAACATCAGCAGTGACCCTCTATTTTTCTCCGTGGCTCTTTACTCACCTCTCAACCGCTGACATTTCAGATGAGACGGTCCTCCTTTGTGCAGCGTAGCCTTCACATTAATTCAGTCTCATCCATGTTACTACCAGCCTGTCTCAACGGGTGCTGCACTGCAATGCTGCTCCCTCGTGACGCAATTGGGCACTGCAGGTTGACACAATGCAGCTTTGCGGGCAGATTGTGCCATCTGAAAAAACTCCCAACATCCATTAAATGTGCCCCAAACAGACTTTATAGTCTCCGCTGAATAATAGATGGTCTGCTATAAATGGCTACATCTGAACAGTTATATTGCATTATCTCTCTGTGAGAAGGACGATTAATTTTAAGATCACATGCCGTTTCAGTAAATAGAACTATTAATCACTTTAAAGTGTCTTCATTTGAAAATGGACGTCTGGTTCTATTGTATTAGCCCGTCAACCTCCAGGTTGAGTGTGTAAGTGAGAGAGAGACTTTGGGTTTATATAAAGTCACAAAAAAAGTAATTTTGCATGTTTTAGTTAATCCAGTTACATAAACTGCATTACATTGACTATTTTCCAAATCACACCACAAGTTTTAAGCTTTCTTACAATCATTTTTCTGTGCTATGAAAATTGATGTGCAGAGGGTTGAGATTTGCTCGAGGCTGGTTATCCATCACAATGAACACAGCTTTGTAGGAAAAATGCTGTTGCAATCAGTGTCTGTTTTGAAAACTCTCTACCGGTGCATTCTTTCTTTTTTTTACACGAATTGACCAGCTTTTATAATGCTTCTAACAACATCTACAGTATGTTTGTGTTGTGAGTTTGATTTTCTGACAATATAAAACAAGAGAGCGAGGCTTTAGTTGAATGCACTTGAATGCACCACCAAGAAGGTTTTAAAAGGAATAGTTGGGTATTTTGGGGAATATTCTTGCCAGAGATTACATGAGAAAATCAATAGCACTCTCATGTCTGTCTGGCACCAGGGAGTTAGCTTAGCATAGCATAAAGAAGCAGGAGTAAACAGCTATCTCCAGTTTGTGCCTCTTATTAATGTATTAGCATTAGCTATATCAGGATAAGAGAGGTAAGCAATTGTTTTGTGTCTTTGAAAGATAAAAAAAAATGTAAATTTTTAACCCGTTTCTCAAGTTGCCCCTGTGTTTCAGTTGGCTGGATATTTTATTTCTTTGGATTAGGAAACAAAGACGCAACTTTATCATGCAGGTGGTTAGAATATTCTTTAGTAAATCTGAAAATACCTTCTGATCAGAAATATCTATTTTTTATAAACTGACGCTAGGACAAAGTTATTAACAAATTGACATTGTCACACTTTGATTTTTGTACGCATTAAACAAATGAGGAATGTTAATTAGTGAGCTTTCAGGATGTTGGTAGTCAGATTTTTAAGAAATGTTGACCTTCGGACAGAGACAGCGAGCTGTCTTTCCACCTGCAGGCTTAACTTCATATTTACCAGACATGAGAGTGGTGTCTATCCTCTCATCTAAATCAAATAAGCATATTTTCAAAAATATCAATTTATGTAGTTTGAGAAATTGTCACTATTTCCAACGGCATTCTCTGACAAAAAATTAAATACAAAGAAGCAAAATGTTCAGTGGCTACGTATGGCATGCTTTAAATATGCTCTCTTCTTTTTTTTTAGCTAAAACATGCAAACACATTGTAGTGCATCAGGCCATGAGTTTCATACATTTCTCATTAACTGCCACACATTTCCTCTCCCTTTTATACGCATCTCTTTTCCGACATTCTGTTCCCATCTTTGCTCTTTTTATCTTTTGTTTCATGTCTTCTTCTTGTCACCTGCCTCCCTCCTTCTTTCTGACTTTCCCCGCTGCTCTCTTCCTTCTCCATCCATTTCTTTCCCCCAGGTGAGGCAGCATGTAAGCACATGTTCAAGATCCCTCTGTGTAACTTAGTCGGCCGTAGCATCGAAAGACCCCTCAAGTCACCACTGGTCAACAAGGTTCTGACGACGCCGGCACCCACCATGGTGCCCCCGACTCCCCTCATCTCTGCTACACACTCACTGTCCCTGTCCCGCATGGAGATCAAAGAGATAGCCAGCCGCACACGGAAGGAGCTGCTGGGTAAAATAAGAAATTTTGCATTATGTGACTATATTAATGAGTGTGTTAAAGCAATAGTTTGACATTTGGGGAAGCCTGTTAGCTTTTCTTGCTGAGAGTTGATGATTCTTATTTCTGTACGTTCATCTAAGTCTCATCAAGAAAGTGAAAGTCAAACAAATTGTCTAAAATCTGACATTTTCTGTTACCTCATACCAACAAAGGCTTGACAGAGGAACCAAGTGGGAAGTCAGACAGTGGAACAGTCAAACAGAGGAAGATGAGCAAGAAGAACACTGAGGAGGAGCCCAAAGCACGAGCACTGACGTCAACAAACAGTGACAGGTGACAGATTTAACCGCAGCAGTATTGCACATTTAACAGTTGCGTAATGTGAGTTGGAGTCATATCTTTCTGTGCACAACAGGTTAGCCTCAGAGTCTGTTGAAACCGACTTGGACGTCCAGCTGCATTGTTCATCCAGTTCTGAGGCAGAGCCAGAGAAGGTGGTGCTGCGAGCAGAGAGTCCGCCTCTCGCCAGCGCCTTTGCCCTCTCCACGTCCTTGAAGAAGATGTCCTGGACCTAAAGTGAAGACAATCCCGTCGTGCACTTCTCTGCCCACCCACTCCTGTACTGTCACCATTATTTTATTGTTTTGGTTGGTTTGCTATTAATTTGTTTTATCTTGTCTTTTTTGTTTTGTTTATATCCCTGTATCCTGGGTCTCCCAGTTCAATGCACAAGATGGGTGCAGTGGGAGATTTGTCTGTGTTCTTGTTTGCTTTCACGAGCAGTCCCTCAGCCACTGAGTGTTGGGTGTTTGTGTTGCCCCGCAGCAAATAACCCAAAGAGGCGATGAGGTTGTGTAAGATGCCAGGGTTTATTCAGACTTCTTTAACAGCCTTGATATAATGTTAACGGTTTGATCCCAAACCACAAACTGAATGTAAATCTGCGCACCGAGGCACAACAAAAATCTCGTTCACAATGCCCTCTGAAGTTGCTAGAGCTTAATATGTGTTGTATATTATGTGATTATTTCCAATTCACTTTCAAATGTTGTATGATATGCATATGTATGTGTACATCTGTTTATACATGAAAATGCATACACAGTGACAGGCGTATATGCCTGTCATGCCTGCAATGCATATTTATAGATATATTATAAAAATTCATTTTATTCCCATATTTAGTAAAAGTATGATGTTTTATGCTCTCTGCACATATTAGTCCTTATTCCTCTCCTTATTCACAGTATACAGGTAGACAGGGCTGGAGGCAAAGTCTCCCACAAGTGCCATTTCCCAGCATCCTCCACTAAACTACACTTCTAACAGCCACCGTATTCTGGTGTCTGACAGTAGCAGCCATGATTGTAGTCCACATTAGATTACTATGGTGACCCACAACTCCATTCAGCTTGGATAAATTCACTTACTGGAGGCACTCTCTCAAAGCCACATGCTCTCAAAATTCTACCCCATGAGAATGAGCCAACCTTAAATCTGCATGACCTGCCTTTGCTACAACTATTGTGTCTTCTGCTCCAAAAAATATCTTCTTTGGAAACCATGAGGTCTGCGACATCATACCAAACATAGCAGAATAAAGCAAACCACAACCTGAGACGACAGAAAGAGTGGAGATGTTAAAAGGACTAATGCCTTTAGTACGATGGTACAAGAAGGAAAGAAAGAATTATAGACAAAGCTAAACATTTTAGCTTAAAACTAGTTAAAATACAGTATATTGTCATAGACTGAAATGATTGAGACTCAAAGTGAGCTAAAACTTGACTACTAAATACACTTCAATAAAATTGTTGAATATTTTTCCACATCCCATATATATATATATATATATATATATATATATATATATATATATATATTATATTGCACAGCCGAAATAACCATTTTAGGGATTCAGCATTCACTGTCAGTATAGCTACTTTAAAACTGAATGTTTTTGTGATTTAAAATCTTAGCCACAGAGGGGTTTTCCAGTTTTAGAGTCCAAATGCCCTGCTGGTTTTCATTCCAGATGTCAAGTAAAAGACTCATTTACAGCTGGGACACCTGGTCCAGGGGTACAGCTATGAATTATGAGCCAATTCACCAGACACCGCTGACCATGTGTGCATTGACAAACAGCTACACACGTCTTGAAAGCCAACATGTCTGCACATACTGTAGTTTATATTACTGATCAGTTATCAGACAGGCCCCTAACTGAACTGGTTTTTGGTCAGACACTGACAGTTATTAGTTGTAACCAAATTTGCTGGTCATCCTCATTCAAAATCTGTCTAGGAAGGGCAACTTTTAGTCAGAACAGGGAATTTAGTATTGCACTTCCATAAAGTTGGAGGAATCAGAGGAGACAGATATTTTGACTTTTAGTCTCTAGTCTGGCCCAAGCTCCAAAGATGACAGATCCTACATTTCCCATAATGCAACTCAATAGTGTTTTTCATTAGACAAGCTCTAAATGTCCACTTCTTTCAAACCCCACACTTCCACTTTTCTGTTAAAAAAAAAAATGTATGCTGCTTTTTGTATCCTAAACTCTTCTTAAAAAAATCTCTTCAACTTCCGCTTCTCCATAATTTTCATTCTTCCTGCATAATTTGTTTTCATCAAACCGTAGAAAAATACGTCTTTCAAACAATGGTACTATCCCAGCGACCGCCCCACTGACTCCAATGTTAACTGACACCAGACATTTCAGGAGATTTTAACATTTCTGACACCACAAACACATATTAAGGCGATAGGAATTACACTCTTTGAGTAATACACTAGAGTTTGAGTGGCGCCTCTCAGCTTAATCTCTGTTAATTGAACTGTCTGACCCAGGAGTCACGCCCTGACCATCACCACGGTAACCATTAATTGCAGGTGGCAACACACAGCTGATTAAGATTTGCTGATGAGGCCGCTTCTCTGATCTCTGTGGTGTCACTGTAGCTTTATAACAGATCTGTTACTTAACTAACTATAACATATGCCTACATACACGATAGGAAAAACACATGCATGCACGCTCTTTTAAATGTATTAAAAAAAAACATTCACTGGCATGTCTCACAGGTTTTAGTGATATAAATAACACATGGTCATAGACACACATAGACCCACACACAGAGAAACAACTCAAATCCCTCTAGTACAGGGCGTGTATTACCTTTATTCCTACAAGGACACTGAATTATCCCTACACTTAAGCTAATTTAAGTCCTTGTACTAAAACTAAACCTTTATCCCTTTGCTAATACCCCCCCAACTCTTCATACTCGTTCGTATAAAGTTAAGCCAGCAAGGCAACTCATCCAGTTATCAAGCAACGCTGTTTAAGCAATACAGCTCTGTGTCAGCTTACCAGCAGCCAGCAATCCCACAGCAGTTTATTCAGAAATTGCATTCTCTAGAATAAATAAACTATTTCTTCGTACTGAGGAAGTTAAATGAGTCATGTGAGTCAGTGTGAATCGAAGATGAAACCGGGAAAGTGTTCTGAATAATGAACACTAGACAGGAAAACTCAAAGAGAAAGCTTTAAGGATCCACTGATGGGTAGGGAAACAAACTGGGAGCTGTGGTTCTGACTTTGCTAATGTAGGTATGAGAGCGCCTCTATGTGGAGGTTTCACAACACAGCAGCCTTCAGATCTTGCATGAGCCTCCTCCTTTCCCCTCACGCAATTCCTCTGTTCTCCTCCTGCCTGTCTCAGTGTGAACCCCTCCAACACTATAACACAAGTCAGAAAAACTAAAAAGGGAAAAAGAAGGGGGATTTTTACAAAGGTACTCTACTTTAGTGTTTATTACTCTGAATGAGTGTGGGTGACTGGGGGATGCCTGGCAGTTACAGTTTGTGACACTGCTTCTCCCACTTATGATGTTCCTATTTCTCCTGTATTTCTGTCGAGTACTCTTTGTTCCTACCTCCCCTTGGCATTTTCACTGTTTTTTGTTTTGTTTTTTTTTTGTATTTGAATCTATATTTACTGTTTAGACTGTTGCTGAACTTCTCTGTGATATCAAAATGAAAGAAAATTAACAAAAAAAACACCAAGTGTCTTAAAATATTGTATCGCCATCGTTTTTAATGCCAAGTACTACTTGTAAATGTTTGTGTATCAAATGTGGCCTCAAATGAAACTGAACTATATTATTATTATTATTATTATTATTTGAGCAATTATTTTAAACAAGTGCTGTAGACCACTGCTGTGAAAGTAGTCGATTCTGTTCATTGATATGTAATAAATATTTATGAAATTTGAACTGTTTGGCTTTTTTTTTTTTTTTTTTTTTTTTTTACAAATGATGTCTTATGTTGAACAATGGGACTACCAACAGAGTCCAGGCATTCTCTGGGCTAGTTATTGAGATGTTTTCTTCCGGACAAAAGTGGTCCCACTGATCAACACTGGTATAGCTAAAGCAATTGTTAGTTCACATGTCAATAAATATTACTATAATACATTTGGTCTAAAATTAAGACTTTTGGTAGCTGGACATCTTGACTTATTTTAAGAAATCTTAATAAGTGAAAATACTAACCACTCTGACATTAAAATGTGCTTGTTTGAAGCAAAATAAATCTCATATCTAAAATGCTTTCAAAAAAGTTTCTTCCCCCTTTTTCCAGTGCAGACTAAACTTTAACTCATCTCTGAATTCCTCAAAACCTTTCATCACTTTGAGCTGTTAATGACACAGTAGCACAGTTCCTGAGGGATACGAGCAAACACACACAACCCCACTTGAAGTTAAATTTCTACCAGATCAAAGTGCATCTGCCTCTGTGGTTTTTACTGTAATTATACAAAAAACTAAACTGGAAAGTCAAAGGTCTACTAAGTACCACCTGTGCTGCCATGTAGGCTAATGAGGAGTTCAGGTGAGATCATGCAGGAAACCACATGATTTGTTCTCTCAGAAGGTGAAAATTGGAACCTGTGATTGTTAATTAGCAGTGGTGGAAAGTAGCCAAATGCATTTACTCAGGTAATGTACAGTTCTGAAGTACTTGTATGTACTTGAGTATTTCCACTTGCTGCTACTTTTTGCTTCTACTGTACAACATTTCAGAGACAAATATTCTACTTTTTACTCCGCTACATATATTTTACAGCTGTAATTTTCATATTAACATTTTACAGAAATGAAACATAGAATAATCTCATAAAATACAACACATTCTGCTGCAGTGGCCCAGGGTTCAAGTCCGACCTGCGGCCCTTTGCTGCATGTCATCCCCTCTCAATCAATCGATTAAAAGCAATAAAAGACCAAAAAATAAATAAAAAATACAACACATTTTTACTGATTAAACCAGTAGATCCACTCCCTCAACCTTCATGGTTGACTTTAAAATTTCAAATATCTAAAAAAAAAAAAAATTCAAGAAAAGTCAAAAATATATACAATACTTTACAAATAAAAAATACAATATGAATACAAACTTTTATTTTGATACTAGAAGTACATTGTGTTAATGAAACTTTTTTGTTTTTACTTACTTATTATATTTTGTGAATTCAGTAGATCATGGTACTGGTACTTTGACTTAAACCAGCTATAACTGAGGCCACTTGCGGTCAGCAGAAACAAGTTGTGAACCAGTAATCATCACCTTTTAAGTTGATATGGTGAACTTAGCAAAGTAAACTATAACGCATTATCATTCATTTGAAGCCTTGTTTTTCTGATCACTTGTTGATGTAAGTCCTCTTTTAGCACTGTTTTTGGTCTGTACTCTCTCTAACTCTGTCTGCCTGCTGCTTGGTGCTAGTAATTGCTGCCACTCTGCACAGAGCCAGGCCTACACCCACTGAACAATAGACTGTCCTGTCCAAAATAAACTGATCTCCTCATGTGAACCAAACAGGGGCAATGAAAACAGAGCTTTTTTTTGGTTCACTTTGTGTTGTTCTTGCATGCCGTGTTTTATGTGTGTTGCATAAATTGTACAGTAAATAGACGAAACATGAGCATGTAGCAGTCATTTATTAATTAATTCATGCTGCTATTTGGTTTTCCTTTTCCCTATTTCATTGTGGATCAATCGGAAACGTTCCTCTGAGTTAGAGGTCGATTCAGTTCACCTGTTGAATGGGAAGCGGGTGGGGACTGACTCATCAACAATGATGGAGAGCAGCTTGGTGGTTCCCCTCTTGGCCAATCCGGGAGTGACAACACCCATTCTTGAAGGCATAAGAAAAATGGGGAACCGCTCACCCAGCGGGTTTCGGATCCTTTCTTCTCTCTGAGACATAGTCAGTCTGTAACTCTGTTCTTAGGTCCCCTGAGATTCCTTTGCTGTCTCTCTTGTTGCTGTAAAGTGTTTGAAAATTGCCACTTGCCACCCAATTACCTGCTGCCTACAGGCTTACTTATTTGTTTATGGTTTTGTTGTTTTTGTTTTGTGGCATTATTTCATTATTGAAGAGTTGTTGGAGAGGTAGGCTAGTGGGTTTTTTTTATTTTTATTATGCGTTTGGGAACTCATTCTGAGGGGCTCCTTTTTCTTGGAGTTGAGACTTGGGGAATCCAATCCGCCAGAGGAGCAATTAAGAAAACATCTTAATCAATTTGGTAACGCACATGGAGCATTTAGAAAAATATATTATATAATATATTCAGGTAAAAGATGATACAACTGAAAACTAATATATAACTGAATTGAGGAACAAAGACCACGCCTCAAACTCACCAAAAAGTTAGTGACTTTCAAATGTTTTACCACAGTAGATGAGTGCAGTTCATGAAAGCAAATATTTCGATGGTGCATTTGTTTCTATGACTTTCAAAGGACCAGAAAATATCTCTGTGCCAACCAATCCCGGTCTCCCTTACTGAATATGTAGCGTGTTTGTGTACTTGCAGGGTGTTCTTTAAATACTATACATGTGTTGTAAAATGAAAGTCTTGCTTGTGTTTTGTCTACTTGCATGTGTTTTCTCAAGATGCAGTGTGTTTGCCCTTGACGGCCACTGTACAGTTGCCATAAACAAATGAAGGTATTGATTTGCTGATCTGGCATGGAAAAAAAAAAAAATGTTGACAGAAATTTCTGGTCACTGTGATTTTTGTATGTGTGAGTCAAGCCCTTGCAGCCCATTCCCCTGGTGAGTCACTTGGCTGAAAATGAGAGTGTAGTATAGGAAAGAGGACATGGGCCTTGTTTCCTTTTACCCTAAAGGTATAGGCATGTTGAGACAACCTTGCTGCTGATACATACACAGGATATAGACACACCCATGTGTCCCCAGCATTGTGATTAGCTTTATATTTCACCCTATGTATTGTTATTGCCTCAAAGCAAGGGATTAGGCTTCTCTAGTCCTCCCACCTTCTCAGGATTTGCTATATTTCTTTTGTTCGGAATAAAAACTCCATAATCACTAAACATTCCACTCTGTAATTTGAGGTTTAGTCATAGCTGGAAAATAACTATAAATGGGATTACGTGGGGAATAGATCACTTTAGGACTGGGTTTTTTTTTGTTGTTTTGTTTAAAGCCAAATACAAGTCAGTCACACGGGAGTGAGAAATGAAAGCTGAGCAATATCTCTCAGTATGTCTATAAGGGCCGTCCCCCCTGGCCCCTCAGAATACGACTGGGAACACAGCACAGCCAAAGTTCTTACATAATAGGTGGAGGAATGCTGGAGCTTTGCCGCGGACTTCTGGATCATCTCACACTCGCACAAAACCACACACACAAAGTGGGGCCCTGTCCCTGCAACACCAGAACAAACTGTCTCTGCAGGACCAGGCAAAGACAACGTTACGGTCGCTCTTCTAAAAGACAATTGAATGAATTAACACACGTTCACTTGGTTGCATGTGTGAATTGTTTTATTGTCTACAAAAATGGGATTCAAAAACATTACTGTATACGTTAAAACTGAATAATAAATTATTAATACAATACTTTAAAAACAGCCTGGAAAAATGTCTTCACAGATTCAATAAAAAATGTTACACATCAGAAAACCTCACTATTTTTTTCTTTCTCTACAGGTTGTTGTAAGATTTATTCTCAGTCCAAACTAAGATTTTAGGAGTACTTTCTTCTTCCTTAAAAGGCGCTTGAGTGAGGGAGTAAAAGCATCAAGCTCATTTTTCACTGAGTGGCAATAAATCTTTCAACAGATCATCAGTGATCATGCCATGGTTCATTATGGTTTTGTTGAACATACTAAGCAAAGAAATGTTAACACAACAGAGGGAATATCCACACAGGAAACAGATGAAGCCATAGATGATACAACACCACATAAATGGTGGTCTGTGTTGTGTGTAAACACACAAGGGGGCAGGGATCAACATACAGCGTGGAGCTAGAAAATATTCCAAAGTGGCTTAAACTAAATGTCTGTCAGTGAGTCATTTCAACAAAACCTGGTTAAAAAACTGAAAACAAGCAACAACCTTCATTTACATTTTAAATACAGTACAAGATGTCATCTTCACATAACTATATCACAGTTAAACGTTAATAAAAGGATAAAAAATACTGACAAAACCAGCTGCGGTAAAAACACACACCTTATTATTGCACTGTCACTGACATTCTGACACCGCTTGTCTTTGACGCTGCCCCTCCCAGGAGGCCTCTGAGATATCCTCTTCCTGCTTTTACTGACACAGGCATCAGGTCGTAACAGCCGTTTTTCAAACCAGAGTCCCACCTCCAGTTCAGTCCCTCATTCCTGGATATTTAGGCATACGCTGCGACTGCCATCAGGACCTGCACAACCATTGAGACACAGGGAATCTGCGCAATGGTGTAGGCCACAGAGCGTGTCGGTGCCGGCAGGGCCAACAGGTAGGCAATGGTGTGCAGCACGCGAGCCATGAAGAAGACCACGAAGTGAAGGCGGGCCACAGCAAGTGAAGGTCCAGTCAAGGAGTAGATGGCACCCACAAAGAGGAAGGGGAGAATGTTCTCCATGTCGTTGATATGAGCTCTATAGAAGAGAGAAAAAAGACAATTTAGAACCACATTCTAGTTACTGGTTCAAATTCCGGATTATGTTAAATTCCCTCTGGATTTTCCTGGAAAATTGGTAGTCTGGAGGATGAGAAATCATTACTCACTTAATACTGTGGATTCTGTCATTTCTCAGTGTAGTGACTCATCAGTTTAATTTAGATTGGATAAAAGCTTGTATCACATGCATCACCAGTAGGGAAGGAAGTATTCAGATCTTTTACTTAAACGTACTACACAGGGTTTTTAACTTGTTATAAAACAGTCTCAATATAATAC